GTGGTAATGTTTGACTTTGTTTTTTTACAATTAGAAAATATAATATTTGATTATGTTCGTTTTTATTTCATTAAGATGTGGTGGTAATGTTTGACTTTGTTTAATTAAAATGTAGTCACTTATCGAATTTTAAATATTTTAGCGAGAAAATTAAAAAAAATGATATATATTATTTAAATAAAAATAAAAGTGATAAATATTATACATTCTGAATATAATGAAGAAAAGCGTAAAAAACTAAATTGAAAGTGATCAAGCCCATAATTTATCCAAAATTTTATTATTTTTTGTTCTCATAAAAAGTTGAAAAAGAAAAAATAATGTTAATATATGAAATGTTGATTTCAATTATTTATTTAGTTTCTTTTAGTAAATTATATTTTCACGTTAAACTAATGAGTAATTGAGTATTACACAATGAAAACGGATCTTTTAGATATATACGAATAGGTATAGGGATAGGGATGGCATGGGTCGGGTTTTTGGTCCACCTGATTCGAGAATAAGGAATCCTCCACCTGAGACTCGATCCGACCAAAACAAAACTTCACCCAACTTGAATCCGACCAGATATATAACTTAAAACCCGACCCGACCTGAAATAATAATAAAAAAATTATTTTTATTCAATAAAAAATAACTTAATTGAAAAAATAATATATAGAGGGGTATTATTGTAATTAGTTCTAAATATATAAAGTAAAATTTTATTTTTTCGTGTCGGGTCGAGTCTAGTATTTTTCACCCTAAACCCGACCCCGACCCAACTCGAACATCACAATTAAAAAACCTGACCCAACCCGAATCTATTTTTTTAATAAAAAAACCCAATCAAATCTGGTCGGGTTAGAACCGTCGGTTCAGGTCTCATGCCTATCCCTAAATAGGTATTTTGTTTGGTTAAGTATATAACCAATATATTTATATTATTAAATTCAGCTATCAATTTGTGCACTGAATATTATTACAAGCGTTTATTAGAAATTATATATATGATATAATTGTTGTACGAATTAAGTTATCTTAATAGTTAAAAGAATAGATGATATTGTTAGAAGATTGCAAGAATATTTTAGCGTTTATTGTTAAATAGGTTAAAAATTGATTTTCGTAAAATAAATTATGTTTTTTAAAATTAATTTTACAGTGTTAAGATAATATTATGTAAATTATTTTTCACTTATCCTTAAATTTTTAGAGAAATTAATTTTCATTTTATATTTTTTTGGCTCACCTGAATTAGACTCGAAATTGAAGTCTTCATCCTGCATTTGATTTGATTCGGTCCTACTTGACTTGAAGTTTGACATGATTTTATGTTAAAAATCACATTCAATTTGATCGAATTATATATATAATTTATTTTATTGTATAAAATAAGAAAATAATTGAAAAAATAAAATAGAAAGAGATATTATTACAATTATATCTAAATATATAAAAAACAATTATAATTTTATGTTGAAACGAATTAATTTTTCATGTTAAATTTAATTATGATCTGATCCAACCACTCCCTAAAAATTTAATTCGATTTGATCTGAATCTAAACTTTTAAATTAAAAAATTAATCAAATTAAATTAAATTAGATCGAAATAAATCAAATCCGAATAAAATTACCATCCCTACCTATAATACCTACTAAACATGATCTCGATGACGTTTACAAAATAAGCTGCCTAAAAAGCCTACCAAACATGTACAAAATAAGTAATAGTATGGGTAATGTGTCATTTACTTATCCAAGGAAATATATTATAGGATAAATTATGTATTTAGTACCTAGACTATCGGTTTTGATATATTTTAATATATAAACTTTTAATTTTTTAAAATCATACATAAAATTTAGTTTTTATCTCATTTTAGTACTCGTCGTTGAAAACTTAATGTGTTTAGTACCTAAATTACCACTTTGGGTCCGTTTTAGTATCTAAAATTTTAATTTTTTTAAAACTTAACATTAAATTTTAAACTGGGTACTAAAATGAAACAAAAACTTAAACTTTAGATATATTTTTAAAAACTTAAAAATATAAGTACTATAACAAATCCAAATTAATAATTTAGGTACTAAGTACATAATTTACCCTATATTATAACCCTCGTAGTAGTCGTATATCCTTCGATTCTGAAAGCAACATGCGTGTTGGAACCTTGGAGAAACATAGTTTTCACGCGGTCTTGTCTCGAGTACTGTCGCATGTCATTGGCTCATTATTTATTATATTATAGGAGGAAGGACAAATTAACATTTAGTCCTTACATTTGACATTATTTCTAATTTGGTATCTAAACTCTTTCTTAGATCATATTAATGCCTAAACTTGGAAGCTTTTCAAATTCAGCCCCTAAACTAGGAATTCATGAAAGTGTAGTGACATGGCACACTGAGATCCTAAAATTTAGAAGTAAAAATATAGTATATGAATTATAATATATATATATATATAAATCTAGATGATAATGTACTATAATATTAGAGTGTCATGTATCACACCTTAAACGTAGTAGCTTTTGATTAAAATGATAGGATACAAAATTGAATATTATTTTAGGTTAAAGTACACAATTGATCCCCTAATTATATGATATTATTTTTTAAGTCCTCTAATTATGAAAAGTTACAAAATAATGTCTCGATTATAGGACACTGCTTTGTTCAATCCCCTGATTAATAAAAGTTACAAAATGATCATTCTACTAGTCATATGTTTCAAACTCATCTTTTTTTGTTAAAAAATTGACGGTCATTTGAGTTAGATGTTAACATGTCGATTGAGATATGATAAGATATTATCCCAAAATCCCAAATGACTATACCATACAAACGATTCTATAATAAACTTTTATCATATATCAATATGTAAATTAACGTCTAACTCATACGATTGTTTATTTTTAATGAAAAATGACTAATTTGGACATGTCGAATGACCATTTTGTAATTTTTATTAATCGAGGGACTTAACAAAATAATAACCTATAGTTAGAAGATTATTTTGTAACTTTTAATAGTTAATGAATTCAACAAAATAATAACCTATAATTAAAGGACCATAAATGTACTTTAACCATCATTTTCTAATCAAATTACCCAGAAGTAAAAACTCTAGTAATCACGTAATTATTTATATACTTTACCCTTTTATTTAAAGTAACTTTATACAATAATTTTTTTTATTAAATTGATTCTTAATACTAAAAATTTTAAGTTACACAAAATATTTTGAATTTGAAGATAACACGTTTTTTAGGGAAAAATACACAAATGGTCCTCTGATTATAGGTTATTATTTTATTAAGTCTCTTTACTATTAAAAGTTACAAAATGGTCGCTCGACTATTTATTATGTTCAAAACTCGTGCTTTTTTGTTAAAAAATTAGCGGTATTATGAGTTGAACGTTAACATCCTAATTGTGATATAATAAAATATTATCATAGAATCTCAAACGATTATCATATTTCAGTAATCATTTTAACGTTCATCTTAAAAGATTACTAATTTTTTAGCGAAAATAAACAAGTTTGAAATATATGAATAGTCAGGTGATCACTTTGTAACTTTTAATAGTCGAGAGACTTATGAGTTGAACGTTAACATCCTAATTGTGATATAATAAAATATTATCATAGAATCTCAAACGACTATCATATTTTAGTCATCATTTTAACTTTCATCTTAAAAGATTACTAATTTTTTAACGAAAATAGACGAGTTTGAAATATATGAATAGTCAGGTGACCACTTTGTAACTTTTAATAGTCGAGGGACTTAACAAAGCAACATTCTATAATTAGAGGACCATTTTGTAACTTTTTATAGTCGATGGAGTTAATGAAGCAGAACCTTATAGTCGGGATCTCATTTGTGTACTTTACCTTTTTTTTTCTATATTTTATAATACAAATATTTAAAGAAAAAACGTGTTAGAAAACATAAATTTAACCCCTAAAAGAAAGGGATCAACGGCAAATGCAACGACACCGTGACTTGCACGCGCTGATGATGCGGCTGGGCATGTACATTTGATCCTGTAATAGAAAGTACGCTGCATTAAAATAAATCGCCGGCTCTGTTGTATGCTTAGAAATTAGCTAATGCCACCACCCTCCTTCTTTCACAAACGAAATTTACAAAAATTATATAAAATCACAAAAAAAGAAGAAAGAATTTAGATATATTCACATCGTCAAATCTCTGAATTTGCCTTTTTTTAAAATAATTTATATACAGAGATTAATAAGTTTATATATAGAAATCTCTTCTTATTTGATTCTTGTTTGATGCTGTGCCTTCCCTTTAGATCTTCATTGTTTTCTTGTTCTTTGGATCTTTCAAATTCTGGGATTTCGAGATCTCTTCCGTTTTCTTCAACCACCTTCGTTACTCAGGTAAGTTTGCTGAATCATCTCTCATTTTCTTCAAGAAAATACATTGTTTCATTCATTCATTCATTGTTGAATTGGATTAATTGTTTATTTTTTGTGGTTTGGGATTGACAAACGAGGGAAATTGAGTGCTGCAAATATTTTTTTTCTTGTTGGGTTTTGAACGAGTCGTCTTAGCTTTGGTAGGTTCGATTTGGGTTGACTTTTTTTGTATTGAAATAATGCCTGTGTTTGGCTTTTAATAGTTGGGAAAATCCAAATGTTTTAACGTTTCTGGTTATAATTTGAAGAAGGAAACGGTTTGTCCTTGAGCCGTTTGAATTTCCCAGAAGTAACAGATTAATGATGAATTTTGTTTTCAGTTTTTTTATTAATTCTGGAAACGTTTGGTTGATTTTCCTTTTCTTAAACTATAATTCTTATCTGCCTGAAGCTTTAGAGTTAAGGGTTTGATCAGGTTTTTCTTGATATTGAAGTTGACCTTTTTCAGTTGAGTTTTGTTTTTCATTTATGATGGATGCTTGCGTTACAATCTAAGTGTTGTAACTCTTTTTTTTCACCTATGGTTTCATTTTTTCCAGATCACATTTACATTGATCCATTGAAGAATCTGTTGTTTGTTGAATATTAATTCATTACCTTGAGGAGGAGATTGGAAACAAAGGAGAAAAAACACATGAATATAGCTGTTCTGTTTGTACTATAGATGAAGGAAGCTAAGGGGTGGCGACTAGGCGGCATGGGTGATAACAAGATCTTGCCCGGTTCTCGCCATCGCACTCCGTTGAAGAGGCCGATATGGATTATTCTAACGGTGTCTATCATCAGCATTCTTCTACTCTGTGCTTATCTTTATCCGCCTAATGGCAGCGGCCATGTTGCATGTTATGTATTTTCTTCTAGAGGTTGCAAAGCCCTTGGTGTTTGGCTTCCTCCGGCTCCTAAAAGGGAATTTACTGATGAGGAGATTATATCAAGGGTTGTGGTTAGGGATATCTTGAATACACCTCCTGTCCAATCTAAAAATCAGAAAATTGCATTCATGTTCTTAACTCCTGGATCACTGCCATTCGAGAAACTTTGGGATATGTTCTTCCGTGTAAGTTGTTTCTTATTGGACACCTACTTTGCTTTTCCTTTCTATGATGTATAATCTTCATATGCTTCATGGATTTTGTTTAGTCCATTAAATTTCATGATTATTTTCCTTGAACTTGGCTTTCATTCGAGGATTTTTCCTATAAAACAGTGTAGGATAGATTATATACAAAATCTACCATGTAATAGATGTTTGCTAGAAAGAAATGTCACATTTGTGCTAGGCCTGAAAAGTACCCTCTGCCAGTTTTGTGTTATTATCTTTCTCCATAAGTAAACTTTATCTGTTTAGTCGTTAATGTAGCTTTGTTGGTATATATAAAAAATTGAGATTTCCTTTTTGGTCGATAAATACTTGGAGAGGGCCAAGCCCTTACAAGAGAAATCTTGTGCTTAGCCATAATATCGAATATATGCAGGTGGGAAAACCTGGTAGAGAATTTGGGACTGGACCATAGTGTTAATAGGGATGAAGTGAGGACTCTCGGTAATAAAGGTGCTATTTCGTGAAGTACTTAAGAGAGGAGTGAGGCCTGCTTAGCCATAACACTGCATTTATACAGATGGGAAAACCTGGTAGAGATTTTTTGAGAGGAGCATAGCATTAATAGGGGGTGAAGCTAGTACTTTTTGTAATAAAGGTGCTATCATATATCTGCAGCATTAGGTAACCAGGGAGATGATGCTTTTGTATTTTGGAGTAGTCTGCCTAGATAGTTTGATCCTTTCTTCATGTTTTTCTCTTCTTCTCTGGAATTCTTTTGCTGCTTTTCAAGGTTTCGATACATGTCAAAATGGAGAAGTTTATACCGGAGTTTAATGATATTCACATTCGGAGGTTTCTCACACCTTGGTTCTGTTTATGTTGCACAAGAATGCAGTTTGCATTTATATAAATGATCATTATCTGCAGAAAGTGCCCATATTTTTATTTTATAACCTTAAGCTGGGAATTAAGAATCATTTCGGGTCTACATTAGATTCAGAAGTAGAAAAATAAAATTGTTCATTTGTATTAGGGACTGGGAGCGAAGCTGTTCATTTGCATACTGAGCAAAGGGAAGGTTTGACTAGTTTTATTCCTATAATATAGAATATAGTCATATAATGACAAAATTAGCCCCCAATGTTTGCTCAAATAGAGACTTTTGGACCTCATTTTTTTGGGAGCATTTTGTCCCAATGTTTCAATTTAATTGACTAGGAGCATTTTTGATGACATGTGACATGCCATCAATCAAGAACACGTGAAAATGCCATGTCACCAACATGTGTTGACAGTTAGTCAACTAACGGTTCCAATTTAACAGAGATTATTTTGACCAAAATTGAAATGTTAGGGGCTAAAATGCTAAAAGAATAATATGGGTCAAGTGACCATTTTGGCAAACGTTGGTCGGTGGGGACTAATTTTGTCACTATGCCTAGAATTTAGTCTGTTTGAACTAACTAGAAACTTGAAGTAAGCGTTTTATAGTGGAAAAATTGTTGGCTCTATGAATCCTATATGTGAATCAAATAGTACTTATGTTTCTTCAGATTGATTCAAATAAAGTAATCATATAGCCTGTATGATAAAAAGAAATTGCTCAATTTTCATGGCAGGGACATGAGGGAAGATTTTCTGTTTATGTCCATGCATCAAAAGAAAAACCAGTGCACATGAGCCGTTACTTCTTTAACCGGGAAATTCGCAGTTCTCCGGTATGTTTCTTAGATTTAAAATCTGATAGTTTTCTCTCTTCCCTTTTATATGATTGTTTTATCATACATGAATTATGTTCCATATTTCTTTGTCCCAAGCATCTTGATTATGTAATGGTTGTTAGATAAAATATACAGTAACTCATTCACTGTGGAGTTGATAATGGTTCCAGAAGACAGCCTAATAGTTTACTTAAGTTTAGCATATCAGAGGGAAAAGGGCGGGCTGCGGACTGCCCTGACCTTGTCCGCAATATCAAGAGTCTGTCTCATTTTATGTTTTTGCAGTCTGTCTTAATTTACATTACCCAATTTTTGTTGACCAATTTTCATGATTCCTTATGGTCTTATGCCTGTATTAAGAGCACTTGGTGCGGTTTTGAAGGTCCGATTGAGTGCGTTTTTCGTGGAGGGTCTAAATTGATTATTTGGTGCGAGTTTGAATACTAAAATACCCCTTATATCTATTGATTTATTTACTGACACTGAACTTGCAGGTTCAATGGGGAGCATTTAACATGGTTGATGCAGAGAGAAGGTTATTGGCATATGCTCTGAAAGATCCTGATAACAAACATTTTGTTTTACTCTCTGACAGGTAAAATAGTTCATCTCATTACACATGGTGACATTTGAATTATATATATAGTTATGAAATCTGAATTATTGATGGTGACATTTGCAGCTGTGTTCCATTGCATAATTTTGATTATGTCTACAATTATCTGATGCATGCTAATATGAGTTTCATAGACAGGTAAGTGAAATGTTAAGAGTAATACACATGCACACACGCATTATGGACCTCTTGAACCATTTCTCAATGTTTGAAATGTATCCCCTCAACCTTGTTTTGCCAGCTATGTGGATCCCGGGCCACATGGAAATGGCAGGTATTCGGCACGCATGTTACCAGAGGTAGAAGAGAAAGACTTCAGAAAGGGTTCACAGGTTTGTCTTAACTGATATGTATTGCGGTAGATCGATTTGGATGGTAAATTCGTGGTCGGGACATGCGACTGGACTTTACCACCGTGAACAAAGGGCATGCATCACTGCTAGTGCCCTGTACTTGTCTGTATCGTTTTCATTTTGAATGCTTGCTGTTTCCCTTGCCCATTTTTTTGAGTCCTCCATCCTTGTTACGGCGAAGTTTAACTTATTGAATTTTATGCAGTGGTTCACAATGAAGCGGCAGCATGCTCTGATAGTTATGGCCGACAGTCTTTACTACTCGAGGTTTCGGGATTACTGCAGGGTGAGTTTGATCCTAGAATGTCATTTGATTTACTGTAAAACGTTGCTGATACATAATTGTTCATGTTTACAGCCAGGTTTGGATGGTAAGAATTGCATCGCCGACGAGCATTACTTCCCGACCTTTTTCAATGTGAGAATCATACTCTGCATCATGTTTCATGCTGTTCACTTTTGCTTCTTCTGATGTGTTTCCCTTTACGTGCCACCTCCAGTTGATTGATCCTGGTGGTATTGCAAACTGGTCGGTAACACACGTCGACTGGTCCGAGAGAAAATGGCACCCGAAATCGTATAGGGGTCAGGATGTTACCTACGAGCTTCTAAGGAATATTATGGTAAACATGCTCATCTCTCTGGTCTTGAATCTCTTGATGCTAGTGAAGTAACAGTTGTAACGTAGTAGTACGGTCGACGTACTTACCACTTCGTGTTTTGACGGATTATGCCGAATACATATGATTCTCTTTGTATAATAAGTTTATATACCCTGACAAATTTTCATGTGTATTTTCGCAGTCGCTCGACCAGAAGACCCATATAACAAGTAACGATAAGGTATGCGTTTTCTTGTGCTTTAAGGTATTCGTAAACTTAACTGTATTCCGAATATAATGTTGACATTAGTCTCCGTCCTTGTTATAGGGTAATGAGCTGCTACAACCTTGCCTATGGACCGGCATTACACGACCATGTTTCCTGTTTGCAAGAAAATTCTACCCAGAAACCCTAGATAAACTGGTGACACTCCTCAATTTTTGAATGAATCCTTCTGTTAGATTGGTGATATTTTCTCGATCCTTTCGTTCCCATCTCGGTTTTTCATATAGATTTATACATTTGTAAATTGGCCATGTTCGGCAATCACGATTCTTGCGTGCAAGGGTAACCGGAAAAAGCGGCAGGGATGACAATCGAACATGGTCAGAGGTTAAGAGTTGTTAGGGTTGTGTCCCTCGAGACGACGAGTAATTTCTCGTCTATCCCCCCCACCCATTTGTACCATTGATACATAATCATACACGTTAAAGAACACTGGGGGATTCATTTATTAAATCCTTATGAAATTGTATTGAGAGGATCACTCAACTGTTCATAGTTATTTCCTTTATCATTTGTCATACTCCCGAAAAGGATCGATATTCGACATTCATGTTCAATGCATATACTGATAGCAAAATTATATGACTTTAATCTTAATTATGTGTTTTCATTCAAATCTCGATGCTTTGGTACAACCATTCAGTACGATCCGGTTCTTTAAAAGCTCATCCAGTAAGCAAATTTGAATTTCGGATTTCTAAGATTCGTATTTGAACTCATTGCAAATAATAAATTTAACATCCGAATCCAAAAAAATAGGGGGGGGGGGGAATGCTACATGCATGCATCTGTGTATAATAAGTATCAATGGCACAAATGCGGAGTCGAGGTCAGACGAGAAATTACCCGTCCGGAAGGCTGTGCCACCAGAGAACCGTTAGCCTCCAACCTAGTTCTAATTCAGCCGAAGAAACCACAGTTGGAAATTAGGAGCCTCATCAATTTATGTAGGGTTTCTGGACAGGATTCCCCTGCTAAAATTGGTTAAAATAAAGTAATTTTACCAACTAGTACAAACCCAATCTACTACGGTATTCCAAAATGAGAAATCATGCACGAATTCTTCATCATCGTACGAAGAAACCACAAATTCCGAGCATATCCGTTGAGAGAGAAGGTGGTAAGTTATCGAGTGTTTGCCATTTTCCCGTTTTCATGGCGAAAGACGAATATATGTTTTCTTAATGACCTTACCACCTCATGGTCATGAGCATCAAGAACAAAGTGGCAAGCCATTATTGCAATGGGATTGCTTGAAAATATACAAGTCATAAGGCCATGTACCATATCACCAGTCAACATGATTCCAAACATCCTGAGCCGAACATGATTCTGAATGCCACTTTCTTGCAGACCAGTCGACATGTGTAACTGTCCAGCGGCAGTTAGCAAAATCACCAGGCTCGACCTTCCGACGACACAGTAATTAGAACACATTTACAAGTTAAAGTAAAACAAAAGAAAAAGGAAGATTCCAGAGTATGATTCTTACATGGAAAAAGGTCGGCAAGTAATGCTCATCAGCAGCGCAATCTTTGCCATCCAAACCCGGCTGTAATAAACAAGAACACAAATTCTCATCAGGTTCAAACTTCCACAGATTATAATTAACAGAAACTTATAACATGATACAGATCATAACAATGATGAAACTCAGTCATTTCACATGTCGGAATCTCCATTTTCTTATACAGATGTAATTATCATTACTGATGGGCTAAACCAAGCAATCTCCAGCAGAAGGTTTGAAAAACATGATAATGACGATGATGGTGATAATAATAAAACCTGAAGAAAGCATATCTAATTGCTTCGATTAAAGGAGGTAGACTACTCCGAAACAAAACCAGCTTCTCCCTTTATTACCTAATGGCTATGTTGCTTCGACTCTTCGGTTTTCTTGAAGTACCCCGGCACCCATATCTGACACCTATTTGAATACAGGATGTGATCGTCCAAAGACTCTCCAAATACATGAAAATCTTGAAAAAGACAAGTGTAGCCAACAACAAGCTGAGCTGCACTTAAAAATGGCGGTTCTTTTTTTAGCAAACACTCTGGTTCACGCGAGTCCATATATAGGGCGGCAAATAATAAATACACGATGGGAAAAGGGGTAATACGTCATACATAAAGTGCAGAACAAAAAAAGCAAGTTACATTCTTTAAGAACAGAAGAAGTTCTTAGAGTATCATATCGTTTGGCTTTAGCTTGTAACTGCTCGGCTTCCTGTCTTCATATTAGGGGCAGAAAAAGCTTTAGATTTTAGTCACGGAAACCAAAAAATCAGTAATTTGACTATAGATCTCCCAGCAAACTTGAAATCATTTCATTCAGGATTTTATTCACTTTGTGTTGCTCCCCTTTTGAACAGAGTGAACTAAGGAATAGTAAAAGCCGAAGTTGTGAAATTGAGATCGTCTTTTCCAACATCACAATCTTCCACTAACTTGTGTATTTTCCGAGAGTCATGCGTTGCGCAATGTAAACCGGATATTTTGTTGGATCCTGCTGACACTATAGAGACTGCAGAAGGAACTTCACTCTCCTCACCATTGTTTGGTGCTTGAGACTCTTGTTCGATTGGGACCACTTTTGACTAGGAAAGAGTATAGATGCAATTTCATTAAGAACAACCAGAGCTTCTTGGATACTTCCTTGCTCACATAAGAATACAAGAAAACTTTCTATCGACTCCGACTCGGTTTTGGTATCAATGTTATTTATCAACTCTACAACGGATTTTGTCTGAAGCATTTCTCTCAAGATATTCCTTGCTTCTTCCATCCTTCCTTCTGCACAAATACCTCTTACATAACCCAGGAAATCAGGAGATGCACCCTTCATTTTGAACTCGGAATAAAATGTAAGAGCATCTTCCATGTCGCCCTTCTTACAGTAGCCATAAATCAGAGCACTAACAGTGAATTCATCAGGCTTAACACCCTTGATCTCCAGATCAGATAGAAACTTCAACGTTTCATCCATTCGACCAAACTTGCAGTAATTGTCAATGAATGAATTATATACACAAATATTTGGTTTGCATCCCTTGTTTATCATAGTATCAAATAAATTTTTGGCTTCTAGCAGTAAACCTTGCTTACATAAATTGTCAATTAGTGTCGCATATGTTACTGTAGAGGGAACCAAGCCAATACTTTCTAACAAGTCATATAGTCGAAGTGCTTCAATAAGACACCTCTGATGGCACAATCCATTTATGACCGAATTGTATGTGACAATGTTGGGAGTAATCCCCTTAGTTTTAGGGGATGCACACTGTCGACAGTCATTTTCGTTCGAGACTATATATTATTATTATTATTATATTACAATTATTATTATTATTATTATTACAAATAATACAACTCGAAGGCCCATTTACAAAATCAACCCAGTGCAGGCCCAGACACGGTTCAAGCCTAGATGACCCAAACTCGATTAGAGTTTTCACATCTCATCTCAGCCGCCAGTATTTACAACCGTTGGATTTGGAGGGATCCAAATGGTTCACTCCGATGTTGCCATGACGCCGCCGCCTCCAACAGATGGATCCAAAAGAAGCGAGGATAGCCGCACACTTCATCATCAATATGGTGAGTCACCATCGCAGATCCGGTGACTCACCGAACGAACAATGTTTTGAGGGCTATAAAAAACCTTAATTTCCCTGCAAAAAAAAAAAAAAACACAACAGCAAGAATAACGGGAAGATAGCAAGCAACACCAACAAGCAACAAACAAACCGAAAGGAGAAGAAAGGAGAGGAAATCTTACCTTCGTTGAAGCCCAAACGTCGTCGGAAAAGTTGTTTTACCGAAGGTAAAATCTTAGATCTAGGCTGTTTTGAAGTTTTTTAGGAAAAAAGGAGGGTGGTTTCGGGTTTAGGGTGTTTCGATCTACGATTGAAGCTATTTTGATTTTTTCCGAACGTGTATAGTAACCAAAATAGTAACTGAAATAGTAACCGGCGACAGTGAATAGTGACCGATCGGTGGTCGGCCGGTGACCGGAGCTCCCTCCGGTGAGGGAATTTAGAGAGAAGCAAAATTGAGAAAATGAGAAGAATTGGCCATTTTGAGCCAAATTTGGGGTATTTATACACTTATCAAAACTACATCGTTTTGAGGAGGGAGTGTATGTGCAATTTCAAGATTGATAAATCACGTCCATGGTCCCTATATTATGTAGTCTTCTATTATAGTCACCGAAATCAAGTTTCTATATCTTTTAATTTTGTCTTCACATTTTATTTATTTTATTTTAGTCACTACCCGTATATTTACATATATTTAAATAATATTTTAGGATTATTTACACTTTTAATATATATATATATTATAATATTTTGAATATTGACCAATAATTTATATATTTTTAATTTAATCCTATATTATTATTTTGGTTATTATTTAATTGCAACTTTATTTTATTTTTATTATTACCTTTTATGTTTAAATAATTTAAATCTAATACTTATATATTACTTTTTATTTTAGTCACATATGTATAATAATATATACTAATGTTTAAAATAAAATAAACTTTAAGTAAATAATATTAATAGTATATCTATGTTTGTTAATTAATATAACATAAAAGGAATATTTTCTTTATTAAACCCACTAAACATAGTTTATAAATCATCCACTAAATTGCCAAAATCTTAGGTAACCCACATTTTGGAGCTAGTGGAGGTTCACATGTTTTTAGGGAGAATATGTTATTTTATGTAAGAAATATTGTTTATGCTCATTAAGTTAATATATAGTTATATATAAATGCTTGTTGTATAAATGGTGGCTTTTAATGTCTTGTATCATGTTTAATATACTAATTATGTGTGCTAAAGTGACTTTGATATTATATATATAATATTATTATTTATGGAAATAGTAAATGTTTTGATATATGTGTTATCACACAAAATAAATTGATTAAGAGTAATATTCGAGCATTTTAATATTGTCATAAAATGATTGTCTTAACGTATAAGAAAGTTACTTTCGATAATTTTAAAATGAAAATATATCCCGTCAAGTAACACCAATTAAATCGAATCCATTTTTTAAAAATTTGGGGATTGAAGAAAATATCGTATTCTTCTAATTAAATTCATCGAGAAAATATAGTTAGATCGAATCTATGGTCTCGTCTCGAGATATTTAATTAATTGATATCCTTATTCTCATTAAATATTGGTAAAATAAATAATTAATCAATTGTTTGATAGGTTTTTAATTTGTTTGACTTTTGCATGTGTTTTCAAAGGGTTTTCAAAATAATAATGTTCGATCAGAAACAATAATTAAATATTATTGTGTTCACTCTTAAAATTATTTTGGGTGCTATTATTTTGAAATTTAGAATGAAATTTTAATATTTTTTTTATTTCAATTAGAGTAAGAA